TAAACCTCCCTTCCACACCTGTTTGCAGCCTAGAGGCAAAATATTTATTTATATTTTTAGCAGTGGATTATTTGTTCTTGAGAGGTTTTTTTAGGTGAGCAAACTTACACGTATAAAGGACCACACTTCAAATAACAGTATTACTGATTTGATGGGTTTAAAGTATTTTAGGTACCAAGTAATGTAACAATTAATCTGTAGATGATGGGATGATTGTTCTTCAGGTTAGCATTAATCTCCCACCAAAGGATGTGCTTATCTGCAATTCTGTCACTTGGTGCTCATAAATAAAATTTTAAAAAAATGATTTACAACATGGATATACAAACTCTTCTGGAATTCATGCAAGACAGTCTTTCTAGAATCCATGGCCATCATTAAAAATTAAACAGGTCTGTTCAATTCTTGACCACATTTTTTCCATTTAAAATTAGCTAGTGAGTAGCATGCCCCAAATATGCTCCGAATGTGTGATCTTTGCACTTTGCCATAAATTGTTCCTGCATTCATATTGCCATTTACAAGCAGTTCATAAAGTCTAAACACATTATTTTAAGTCCAATACCCACCTTAACACACAGGTGAGCTGGATTGGTTTTCAGCAATGAATTTGTCAGTGCTTGGCTGAGGCCTAAAGCCTTGGCAAGAGCTGGCACCTAGTCTGCCAGTGTCACACTCTGTAGTGCCATATTAAAAAAAAAAAGTAAATGTGTGTAAGTGTAAGCCAGGAAACCACTCACCCTCCTCTAAGTAAGCTATTCTCTGGTTCTAAACATTAAATAAAGCCTCAATCCAGCAAAGGATTTAAGCAGTAGTCCCATTGATTTCAATAAGGAAAATCACTTTACAAATTAAGCACATGCTCAACTACTGTGCTAAATCAGGGCCTAGTATTGTAGCCCCTGAATGTATGTTCCTCTATATATTTTTTTCTGGGGCTTGCATTATTATTTGCAAAATCACAGTACTATTTATTTCACTTCAAGACCTTTGTGTGCATTCTAGGAAAAACAAGCAAACAAACAACAAGCCACTTGCATTCTCAGTTTGAATTTATGAAATCATTGCAATACCTTTAAACAATGATTCATAATGTCTGTAGTTCTGCCTTTTGTTTGTGTGTCCTGGGATTCTGCATAGCACCCCATATTCTGTAGGGTTCACACAGGCACAGAACCACACAAAGCACATTGCAGGACCAGGGCTCTAAAGCCTTACATTTCATTTTCAGTTACAGGAAAAATCTGTATCCTAAATGTTCTGACAGCCTCGGGAACGTTAGATCAAACAGGGGGAAGGGACGGATTAAAAGGGGTTTAGGGTCGGGTCAATAAAATCAAAGACATAAACTTAGAAGGAAATAGGGTGACCAGATGTCCTGATTTTATAGGGACAGTCCCGATACTTGGGGCTTTTTCTTATATAGGTGCCAATTACCCCCCACCCCCGTCCCGATTTTTCACACTTGCTATCTGGTCACCCTAGAACAGTGGTTCCCAAACTGGGGTTCGTGAACCCCTGGGGGTTCGCGAAATGTTACAGGGGGTTCTCGGGAAAAAATTCCCTAATGGCGGACAGAGCTGTCCCTAGAAACCCGGGGCAGCATGGGGCCAGCAGCCTGGAGCCCCTGGACTTCCCAGAGCTAAGCAGATCAAAGCAAGCATATCTATCACACTGAGGAGATTTAAACTTCAAGACTCCTGATAAGAAATGGAAAGGGAGGTAGATATTTTTTACTGTTTTTAAAAGTAAATAGGCAGCTTGTATTGTTTCTAAAATTATTATAAAGAACAAGTTTAAGCTTTGTTGTAACGTGCGTTGTTTGCCAGGACTGCTCAAGACCTGAATGCTTCTGTAGGAGGAATGACTTGAGCTGGCTTCTTAAATACCTTCCTGCTGTTTCACATCTGATGCTCCTTGATGAAACATAGGAGCCTTGTCTTATAACAGGCTTATTCAAAGTGATACAAAGTACGAAAGTGAGATTTTGAAAGAGTGTTGCTGTTTTCATAATGTAATAAAAATACTGTAATGATAAATAATAATAATAATAAATAGTGTGTAATAAGCATGTCATAAAAACAAATTTTATATTTCCAAGATCACTGCTTTTATAATTTATACTCAGGTAAAGGAGAAAATCCCTGGAAACATTCATTTTTAGGAGGGGGTTCGCGAGACTTGACATTTCAGTGAGAGGGGTTCACAGGTTGTTAAAGTTTGGGAACCACTGCCCTAGAAGGAAATCAGCGGCCTGGGGTTTTCAAAATGAGGTGCAACTCCCCCAAGGCAAGGAGAGAACGGGAGCTGCCCTCAGGTCAGAGGTCACTCTGACCCTGTGCCCTGGTGTGCCTCTGCCTGGGATCTACCCCAGCTAACCCCCAGCAGCTGCCTCCCACTGTGACGTGATTCCCCCAGGGTGCCCCCTCAGGCTCTATGGCCAGGTCCCCACCCCAGGGTGCCCCCTCAGTGATCCCCTCCCACTGGGACACTCCACAAGGAACCCCGCCCCCATCCACTACCCCAGGAAGCCGCCCCGCCCCACCTCACCACGCCCTATCAGCGGCCGAGGTTGCGATCGCTCCGCCCCCTTTTTGTTGCCAAGACACAGGCCCCGCCCACCCCTCTCTCCCGCCCTCCAGCTCCCCACGCGCTCGGAAGGTGGCGCTGCGCAACGGACTCGCCACTTGAACGGCTCCTCCCATCGCCCAAGGTGATTGGCCACCAAGGGCTGCCCGTCAAACCAAGCTGGAGTCCGCCCACGGGAGCGGTGACGTGTTTCAGTATCGCCCGGGGAACAAAACGGAGGCCGGGCGTGAGTGTCGCCAGTGCTTTGCGTCATGAACGGCGTGTGGGGTGAGTCCAGCTGCTTTGGGGGAGTCTAACCGTGCAGCGGAGGGAGGGGGAAGAGCCCAAGCCTGCAGCCCGGAGGGAGGGAGAGTCCAAGCCTGGAGAGAGGAGAAGAGTCGAGTCCGCTCCTGAAGCGGGGGCGGGGGGGCAGAGCAGGGTGATGTGGAGCTGGGGGGTGGAGGGGAAGAGTCCAAGCCTACAGCGGGGGTGGGAGGGAAGGGGAAGAGTCCAAGGCTGCATGGGGGGGCGGGAGGGAGGGAAGGGGAAGAGTCCAACGGGGGGGGGGGAGGGGTTCAGCCTGAGGGGCTGTCAGACCAGCTCCAGTGGGGCCCGCCCCTCAGCAGTGTCAGTGTGGGTGGGTGGGACTCAGCTCAGCGCTGGGTGGGGCGATGGGTCTTGGGGGGAGGGTTGTCTGTGGCTGGCCCTGTGGGTAGGCGCCCCTGAACTCACTGGCCTTCCACGGCGTGGGTGTGCCCCAGCTGCTGGGGGGATATGGGCCATGTGCACTCCTGGCCCTCGGGCCACCAGGGCTGTTGGGACACGAGTCCCGGCATGGGTCTCTGGCTGCCAGCAGGGGGTGCTGTGCCAGGAGCCTCTGTGTACCTGCCCTGACATCTCCAGGCCAGGACTACCCCATCTCCTCAAGCCCTCCTACACCTGGAGCCCCCACCCCCTGTCTCCTCCCCAAGCCCCTCTCCATACGAGAGGCTTCCCCTCTGAACCACGCCAGAACAAGCCTACCTTGCTCTCCCACTACATGCCCTGATAAGCAAAGCAACCACTTGATCTTACTGCCACAGGTTGACCTACCCCTCTCCTCCCCCTCTGTATTTACCTTCCCTTAGGCATTGCTGGCATTAATATTTCTACCTAAAACAACCCACCATTGCTACTATCACCGGCACCAACCAGTGAGATCAGGTGACTGCTGGGTCCTTGGCACCTTACTTACCATTGCAGCTAGTCCTGCTCTGAGCAGGATTAGACAACATGGATCAAGCCCTAAGGCTCAGTCTGTGCCAGCAGTCCCACTGTTGCCTCCTTGGTGGAGCTGCACCAGTAGCATCAGTGCTAGGGAATAAAGTCTAATGACACAGCCTTAGGGCCTGCTGCTTCAAATACTTACTGCCAGGTGTAGCCCTAGTACCTCATTGTTACCTTACAGGTAATAAGCATTAAACCTAGTAATAAGGGTTTGAAGAATCAGCACCTTAGATAATAAAATGTTTTAAGGTAGGGATTTTGTGTGTGAGAAGAGATCAGTGCATATTGTGTTGCCTGAGACATCCCATATAAATAATAAATCATAAAGTGTGTTAGATGTTTTTGGTGCTACATAAATAACTTACAATAATAAATCACATAGTACAAGTTCTTAAATTAATTTCTGCATGCAGCTAAGGTACTACAACAGACTTGAAAGTATGGAACAGATCCTGAAGTCTGTGCAAGTCTCATCATGGAACTCATTGGGAGCAAAATCAAGTCTCTCATGACTGAGTCAGAAAGTGGTTCTGGCTGTCTCATTAGGGATATGATGCGTTGATTAGGGACTTAGTTGTCTAGCTAATAACACTTTGGAATCTTTCTAAATGAGTTAATAATAGAAAAGTGTATAAGTGAAACTTAATGCCCCATTTAATAAACCTAAATATTCTCTTGGTGTAAACCCTGTAGAAAACAGGAGTAGGAGAAACAAATATTAGACACTGTTGGTTCCTGTCACAAAAGACTGTCTTGTAAAAACTCAGATTTCAAAATAACACTCAGCCCACAATACAATACAGACGCTCCCCGGGTTACGCAAACCTGACTTACGGAAAAAGTTCTGTAAGTCCCGTAAGCTGCTTTTTTTGTGTGTGTGTGTGTGTAATTGTCGGAGATACGTTCCTGACTTACGCAAAATTTGACTTACACAAGGCGTTCCAAAATGGAACGCTTGCATAAGTCGGGGAGCTTCTGTAATAGGGAATTCAACTATTTGATCAACTGTGGCATTGAATCAGAGTGACACATTGTAACAGGTGCTAAAAGTAGTCTCTTTCATAACTCACATTGAATGAGAGCTAGGATTTAATTTCAAAGAATGTGTTAATATTTTATGTTTTGTCCATTTTTGCAGATTTGCATTAAGTGGAGAATTCTAACTATAATTGGGTAATTACTACTGAAAGTAGCAAGATGGCAGCAAACCCTCCAGGTCAAGGTAATTTTTAAATTAGGTATTCTTGTTTATATCTATTCAACTGCAGACACTTTGCTTTTGTTTTATTCATTCATTTTTCAGGTGTGTTTAAGGAGAAAATTTAGAGGTGATGTTCTGTTCCCATTGAAGTCATTGGGACCAGGATTTCATCCTATAAGTATAATTTAAGGGAAAACAATTTCTGCCATTTTTTGAGGCAGGAATCCAGTTTCCAAGATTGTAGATTAGAAAACAAGCAAGATCTCAATAGGACTCGATTCCCTTTTTTGTTTTAACTTGTTTTAAGTGGGGGGGGGGGGAAAGGGGTACGAGAAATACAAAACTACTAATTATACTGGGAGCACAGAATTAGTGCATGTCTCTTTAAACTCAAATCCCAAAAGAAAACAAATGAGACTTTACAGTGATGTAGTATTTTTTTTAAGTTCCAATTATTTTGCTATTCTCAGCGGCTCTTGTACACTGAATTTGGCTCTTGGTTGCCAAGCTGTGCATCTGGGAGCATACTGAAGGTCCAAAGAGGCACAGTTCTGCAAGTGAGAACAAAAGATGAGAGGAGATCTTAGCCATCAAGAATAGATAACAAGAGCTCGAGACCATAAAGAAACACAAAACAAAGTAATGCTAACTATTTTTTTAAAGCTTGTTTATATTATGACAACTGTTGTATATTTAAATTTGTCTAAGTGCCAATTTAGTACCCAAAGAAAAATCTGGCTTATTTTAACATGTTACCATGGCAAAAATTGAAATTAAAAGAACAGCAACAGGAGGCAAAAAATAGTGTGCTTGGTTATTGGGAAATACTGGTTTGTTGAACACAGTGATCCCAATGTGGTTTACAAAGTATGGCCCCAATTCCAAGTTGTCCTGTGTGGGTAGAGTCCCATGAGCAGCCCCCTGCACTGAATGTCTTCCAGGGTAGTGGCCCGTGCCCCCAAACCTGTAAACCCTAGCACACAAGTAACTGTACACCTAAATGCCGTGGGGCTACTCTCCCATGTAAGTGTTTGCAATACCAGACTTTTAAATACAGAAGTTTCTTCACCTGTCACTGAAGTACAGCCACCGCTGAAGTGGAACAAAGGACTTGTTTATAAGCCCAGACCCATATTGGACATGAAAGAAAGAGATTGTTGTATCAAATAGATGGATTTGGGGGTGGGGGGCAGATGCGGTGATTTGGAGAAGAAAGTACTTATAAAAAGCTTTGTGGAATTCTGCAAAAAAAAAAAAAAAGATGGCGGGATAGTCCCATTGACTTCAAATGGGATTCAGCTTTGCAGGATTTGGTCTCAAACACCATCCCTTGTAAATATATGATAAACCTTGGTTTTGGCTGTAAAAATCAGTTTAACTCCACATTACAGAGCCTAACAAATATGCCAGTGCTGAATTTAGAGCTTCACTTCTAAAGATTTGAATACAGATTTACAAGTCTGATTCACATGATTTCTTCTTCCTCCTCCCCCAAAGTTTAGGTAGCTTAAAATTAAATAATTGCAGTTTTCCTTTCTAAGTTATATTTCTCAAGTACTCCCTTAAGAATCACTCAAGGGACTGAATATTTATTTTATAGTATAAAGATTATAAACAAAAATATGCAAAAAACCCTCTTAAAACTTTAAAGAACCAAAAGGTAAATGGGCAAAAGAACGGGACTCTAAGACAAAAAGAAGAAATGGGGAGTCAGAAGGATTCAGCAATGATCTCCTAGTTCTGCCTGGCCAAAGAGTGCTAGCCTAGGTGCAGACTGATAGACACACTTGGCTCACGCATCACTTGTTGTTATCGGGCTTGCTGAATAGCACCAATATTGGTGCTATTCAGGGAATTTATTCTTTGATGCCTTGCTTCCTAATTAAAAGCACAAGGTTAAGGGCTTCACTTCACACCCATTCTGCTTAATTTTTGAACAGGTAACTTATTCAGACATACACACGCACACGCGTACGTTATATAAGTAAACATCGTCTTGTATATTTTTGCTCCAAGCAATTGAGCAAACATTTTTTTAAAGATATTTTATCAGCAGTGTAACTCCATGTCCTTACAGCTGTGAACTCACACTATACATGTTAAGGTTTTGCTAAACAGGTTTATTTTAGTTTCATCGGAACACATTATAAAAGCACTCCTTTATTGGAGTTCCAAAGGTGAGATGTGTAGGAGGACTGCAAAGCCAAATAGGACTCTGAATAAAAGCCTTACTTTGGGGCTTTTATATCATGGAGCACTTATAAATTTCCTCTAATAAAGAAAAGGAAAAGCTTTTAGTGTGGTGTACAGTGTCCTCAGGAAGTGTTTACAGACCACTGTGGTGCACTTTGAAAATAAGCTTTTAAAGCAAGAAATAAACTGAGTGCTTGGCAATAAATGGTAATACATTCTTAACCATTTGTTACATGTATTAATAGGACTGGTGCTGCTGCTGCTGATGATATACTCATGCACAAAGCTGGGAACAAAGAAGGTATCTGTCTTGTGTGACAGCATCATAGGTTTTATTCTACACGTGACCTTCCTGGAAGCATTAGTGTGATGGTAGCAACACAATAGTTACGTTCTGAGAAAGTACTCTTCCTCTAGGCCCCACTTCAGAGAAATGGAAGAAATACGTTCTGCCTATTTTTCTCTCACAGGGCTAAATTCTGCCAGCTGACCTGCACAACAGAGCTCTGCAATTTAACATAAGATAAACTTTTGAGGCACTGATGTTGGCCCAAAAGTGTAATTTTCTATGTGCTGTTATTCTCCCTCTGTTAGGTGCTCTTGTATGTCTTCTAGCTGCTATTTATTCACTTTAAGTAGTACCGATTTTTGGTTAAACATTTTTTTCTTCCATGCTGACAAAGCCTCATATAGAGGGTGTAGGGATTGGTTTAAAAATGAGTGTGTTAGCCAAGTGCAGTCTTATGAAACTTGTGAATCATTAATCCAACTTAAGCCACAATACAGTGTAAAAAGAAAATTGTATTCTTGCTTTGGATGATGTAATCAAGAGGGAGTCATCCAGCAATTGTACAACTCTTCAGAGATCCAAATGCAAAACCTCGCCCTTGAGGGCATTAGTAGATTTGACATTCCCTGGAGGATTTTGCATCCATAACCTAATGAACAAATTATATTCATCTGTATATGTGGTCATAGTCATGAGGGACAGATAAAATATTAATAATCCTTTAATAATTCAAGTGTAATTTAATGAGTTACTAATATTCATTTTGCTTAACTGCTGCAGAACATATGTGAGACCATAGAATGTAAATTACCACCAAAAAATTGTGTAATAGTCTGCTATATTGTATTTTGCGATTGCAGTAGTCACAATTGCCATATGAAAAATGGTGGAGTAATTACTTACAGATTGCGTAGAAACCCAAAATATGTTGCATAAGTTGTTAGGATTCTGCTATTTCAGATATTTCCTCATAGAATGAAGATCACCATTATGATGATGATTTGTATTTTGATAGAGAAATTACTTTGAAACGTATTCTGAATTGAGCAGAAAGAACGAGGAATGTGGTGGTGGTATATTTTTAAATGCACTGAGACTCAGTGTACAGTATGTATTTACATCTGGGTTCAAGATGTGGCTCTGTTCTGAAAAATGGTCCAAAAAGTGGCATTATGAGTTTCATTGTTTCTCAGTGATTTTCAGTTCACATGTGCTTAGATTACAAGTAAAAAGATTCTTCCAGCTGCCAACCCTGCTATCTCAACCTCAACTTTTAAAGTCAAGATCCCCCCCCATTGCATAGCCTCATCAGTAGGGGAAACATGGTTTTGTGGGCCAAATTAGGCCATCAGTCACATTTATACAATCTGTAACTTGGTGTTCAAGCCTGGTAAGTCTTATGAGGGGAATCTTCATAGGTCATTGCTTTTATTGTTTCAGATTTTCTTGTAAAATATCCTTGGGGTAGGGGTCATGTTCACTCTGGGAGAAGAAAAGGCATTGGGGAAGCAGGAGATAGTTTGTAAAGAAATCCATGCTGCTTTCTCTTGCTTTGGGGCCCAAAGTCCAGAATTCCATGAACACGAATTCCCCCCTTGTGTAAGCTAAGCCCTCTAGGGCATCAATTTCGGTAAACTGTGCTTTTTGCTTCTCTGAAGTGGATTCTCATGCAATTCAAGGTATGTTCCACACTTGTTTTGCATATGAAAAATCACATTGACGCAAGTAGGTTTTCAGCTCACCCACTGAGTACAGAACATGGCACTTGAAGTTACAGAAGCCAAACTTTAAAAGGGCAGATTTGAGCTGTAAATCTTGTCCTGAGTTTTAGAGCCAGCTCTGCCATTGACTCGTTATGTGGCTTTGGGCAAATCATTTCATCTCACCATCCCTGTCAGCAAAAGAAGAATAATACTTCTTGCCCATCTACATAACAGGGATGTTCTGAGGTTAAATTTTGGTAAAGTGTAGACATTCTAAGTGCTATTAGAAGGAAACTACCAGATTAGTGAAGGTGTGAATTGAAAGTTCTTCATTAGAAGAATTCTTAGTCTAAAGCCGTTTGCATTTGTATGTTTAAATCAGGCCCTTAGTGACAGTGGTAATATGCTTCTTTGTATAACCACATTTTGGTATAGGAATTGTATAAAGGCAGAACGGAGGAATTAAAAACATTACAATTGCCGCATGGGATTTTTCTAGCTTCTTCAGTTGGTCTTTAATGAAGTGCTTTTAAGCAAAACTGTCTTCCTCTTAAGTATTGCCAGATCTGATCAGAATGGATTTACTGAATATGCCAGTTTCTCTCTAAATAGGACCCTTTTCCTGTGATTTTATATAAATGTTTGGGTATTTTCCCCCACAGAACACTCTTCAATTACATGAATACTGTTAATGAGATTACTTACAGTTAAAATTATAATTACTGAATCAAATTGCTTAATGGACAGCAGCCTTGCCAATACTTTATTCCTCCCTTTTTGCTGTGCCTGACTATATAATTTCAGAGCAAACAATCACTTATGCTTTAGTCTTGGGGAGATGGGGAAAGAGAAGAGGTAGTAGAAGGACAAAGATCCCTGCTGTTCCCAATATATAATACTACCTTCCACTGTGGCAAGTATGTTGCTAATCATACTTAATTCATAATCCTTTTCAGACATTTGGATTGCAGTTTAAAATAGCTTATTTTTATCCTACATCTCTAAAATTATTGAAGCATATAACCGGTTTCATGATGAAAACAAGATTAATTGGGGGTGCAAAACTGTTTGGAAAACCATTCACAGAGTAGTTATCAGTGGTTCACAGTCATGCTGGAAGGGCATAACAAGTGGGGTTCCGCAGGGATCAGTTCTGGGTCCGATTCTGTTAATCGGTGATTTAGATAATGGTATAGAGAGTACATTTATAACATTTGCGGACGATACCAAGCTGGGAAGGGTTGCAAGTGCTTTGGAGGATAGGATTAAAATTCAAAATGATCTGGACAAACTGGAGAAATGGTCTGAAGTAAATAGGATGAAATTCAATAAGGACAAATGCAAAGTACTCCATTTAGGAAGGAACAATCAGTTGCACACATACAAAATGGGAAATGACTGCTTAGGAAGGAGTACTGCGGAAAGGGATCTGGTCATAATGGACCACAAGCTAAATATGAGTCAACAGTGTAACACTGTTGCAAAAAAAAGCAAACATTATTCTGGGATATATTAGCAGGAGTGTTGTAAGCAAGACTTGAGAAGTAATTCTTCCGCTCTACTCAGACCTCAACTGGTGTCCAGTTCTGGGTGCCACATTTCAGGAAAGATGTGGACAAACTGGAGAAAGTCCAGAGAGGAGCAACAAAAATTATTAAAGGTCTAGAAAACATGACCTATGAGGAAAGATTGTTTGTTCAGTCTGGGAAAAGAGAAGACCGAGGGGATATGATAACACTTTTCAAGTACAAAGAAGGTTGTTACAAGGAGGAGGGAGAAGAATTGTTCTTAACCTCTGAGGGTAGGACAAGAAGCAATGGGCTTAAATTGCAGCAAAGGAGGTTTAGGTTGGACATTAGGAAAAACTTCCTAACTGTCAGGATGATTAAGCACTAGAATAAATTGCCTAGAGAGATTGTGGAATCTCCCTCGTTGGAGATTTTAAAGAGCAGGTTAAACAAACTCCTGTCAGGAATAGTCTAGGTAATACTTAGTCCTTCCATAAGTGCAGGGGACTGAACTAGATAACCTCTCGGGGTCCCTTCCAGTCCTATGATTCCATGAATTTATATAACCAGCATAATGTAAATCTTAGCTAAAAATACCAATTAAAAATGTGTCCCTCATTTACCCCATCTGGTGCTCTGATTTTCAAGTATGCATTTGGTCCATGTATTTTAAGAAAGATCAGATTGCAGTGGGGGTGGTTCTCTATACGAAGCCTGCCCCCATTCCACTGACCAGATCTAGTGTGTTCACTTGTAAACATGTGGCTAAAGACTGCCTGGAGTAGACACGCTGTTGACATTGTGGATTTAGCTCGGGGCTTGTGTAATATGTAGAGGTACTTAAAATGTCCCTGGGATGGTGCTGGTATCTCAAATATCTAAGATCAGAGTGCAAAAATTACAGCTGTTTTCCTCTCCCGAGGCTCAGCTGTCCCAGAGCAGGGGCAACTGAGTCATCTAGACAGATGCAACAGAGAGTCCTGTGGCACCTTTAAGACTAACAGATGTATTGGAGCATAAGCTTTCGTGGGTGAATATCCACTTCGTCAGACGCATGACGAAGTGGGTATTCACCCACGAAAGCTTATGCTCCAATACATCTTAAAGGTGCCACAGGACTCTCTGTTGCTTTTTACAGATCCAGACTAACACAGCTACCTCTCTGATATCTAGACAGATGTTATACTGGCAACATCGGGTTCCTCGGGTGATGGATGGTTTCTCATTTTCTTGGCAACTGATCTTGCATTGGTCACTGAAAGCCTAAACGTGGGGTTATTTTTTTGACTGTTTTGTGATTTAGGAATGAGGCACTGAGAGAAATCAAAGTAACAGGCAGTACGTTCTTGACAGTTGGTCCCTTGCGGGGGACCCAGCCTTATCCTAGATTTGTATTGATACAAGTCTTTTAAAGCAGATATAAAATACACAAATAGTGGCTCCTTAAGATGGCAGCCATTTTAAGTGTGTCCCAGTTTCCCTCCTTACTCATTCTGTCACCTGAAACCATCCCTTGCGCCTAAGATTCCTTTCCGCTCCCTAAGAACATTCAATTAACCAAGCAACGGCAAAACTTTTTTAGATCTATACAGTGGAACTTAACTGCAATACTCTGATTACCAGTCACGCCAGAACTCCCTGACTTCAGTGAGAGGTTATGGCGGTGTAGAGAAAGCAGAATACTTGCGTCTGAGCTAGACTAGATGGATCGGAAAGGAGAATTTTGTCATATGTCTAATTTTAGAGCAAATAGGCCTGATCATTTACTCATTATTCAAGCAAAACTCTCATTATAGTTCATGAGTTCTCCCTGACTCTGGTATAAAGAATCATGCCCTATGAATGCATTCATTCATTCTTGTCATGCTTTAAAATTGTATGTCCATTCACAAAATATATATATATATATATGATAAATTTAATTTGTATTCTGACACTATCAAAAAGCCAAATATTTAACGGATACACATCTTGGCTATAGCTGTAAAACTGGTTCCTGAAGAAAACCTAACTAGAGATGATAGCTAATATATTTTAAAATATATTAATATGTATGATATCTTTAGGAAGCCATTTCATGTTATAAAATGAGGAGAGGAAAAATAAAACCTATTTATTAATAGCCTTTCAGATTGGTGCAAAGCTTTGAAGATTAGTATATTCATCATAATGTCATTCTGTGCAGGGACTTTAATTCCATAAGGTTATAGGTGCCCCATGTAAAAAGGCAAATCTAATATTTTTCTGATTCTTACCAGGTTTTCAGAATAAAAATAGGGTTGCAATCTTGGCAGAACTAGACAAGGAGAAGAGAAAATTACTTATGCAAAACCAGTCTTCCACAAATCACCCTGGAGCCAGGTACTTTATGTTCATATACCTGTTTGGACAATATTTGATTTTCTTTGATGTACAAGTGTGTTCTTTCCTTACAGGTAATCATCTGTAGATCTAAACAAAATACATATTAGAATTGTGTGCTGCATGTCCCCATTAACCAGTGCAAGAATGATGATTGTATTTGTTTCTGGATTCTGAATCTTGACCTACATGCTTTCTGCTTGAGAGAGAGAAATAGGGGTGCTTCACAACTGCTAAACAAGCCCTCTTAAAGGAGCATGCTCCCAGAAAATGTTCATTAAGCTAATATGCTATTTCTTGTGCTTCAAAACGTACCCTTTTAAATCTAGATAGCAAAACAATATCTTCCCCTAATAAAATAAGTGAAAATAGTATTCTATTCCAGTTTTTTTAAAGCAGTGCAGTTTAGTGTTTGTTATAAATCCTTCTGTTTAGAGGGTCACTACTTAGCTCCAAGTATTCACATAGGTCTTAACAAGAGAACTGCTACTTTTAGAGATTTTTTCCCCCCTCCAGCTCAGTAGAAGTGTTTAGCATGAAGCAACTCTGATTGTCCTTAATGGGAGCTGCTGGGTGATGAGCTCTTTTAAAAATCTGGCACTTTAGACATTACAGGTCCTATCCGACTCCCATCAAAATCAGTGTGAGCTGGATTGGGCACTAAATTAAAAAAAAAATTAAGGAAAGGTAATATTTTGTTTGGACTCATGTCTCAATGATTATTTTTTCAAATTGAAGCCTAAATTATTATTTGTTGCCCACAGATATCTGAGCCATCATTTTATATTCTGTAGCTTATTAACACTTTAGCAAAAAAGGGCCTTCATCTGAGTTCTGTATCAATAGGAAACCTTTTTCCTATATGCAGAGTTCTGCAGCCATTCTGCCAAACATCTGATCTTCCCATCATGAAGAATATGGACCCATGGTTAGTGCTATTGTTTTATCACATATATTGTTTCATCACAAATACTATTTTAGGAGAGTCACTGGGTGGCAATGGTGAAAAGGGCAAAAGCGATAGTTAAGAAACTGAATGTCAAATGACTCTGGCATGACACCAGTGAATTTCGATTGACATCAGTGGAGTTACACCAAGAAAAGTGAGATCAGAATCGGGCTCCAAGTCTGTTAGGCTTCTGGGTTTAGCGTGGCAACATTTGGTATTCTCAGCAAAATGGTTCAGCCGGTGCTATTGCATTTTCTCACTTGCATATTAAAAAAAAAATCCAAAATGTCAAGTCATGGATTTAAAAACAAAATCCCAAATCCATAGAAAATCATGGAATCCATTCTACCCATGACCCAACATGACAAAAATGCAGCTTTTCTTATGGAGGATCAATTATACCTTCCTCGTCTTTATTACAGCATTGCACTTGCAAGATCTTCCCTGAACAAGGATTTCCGGGATCATGCGGAGCAGCAGCACATAGCGGCACAGCAAAAAGCAGCATTACAGGTGAGTGTCCAGATCCTGTATTTGGTTTTACTTCTGTTCTTTAGCCCAGGCAGAGAACAACCTTGTATCTACAGAGCTTAGATAAAGTATCCTTAGAAGGGTTTCTTCTTAAAGATTTTTCTATATTTGGCAACATAAATGAAATTCCAACCCCTCCATCATGACTGCAGCATGCCTCCAATTCCTTATTTCCATGGTACACTATCAGTAGGTTGGTTTGCACTACCAAATTGCTGTTACACCATTACATTGTTGTAAAACAATTTAAAAAGCCCCCAAATGCTAGCAGCACAAATGAACTCGAGGCAAAATTTTAGCTGGCATCACAATATAAAAAGCAGAGGTGGAGAGAAGTTAGAGATCTCTGGCCTCATCACTTTGGCAGTGGGAAGTAGCAAGGGGGCTTGGGGCTTCGACTAACCTGACCTTATAGGAACACTTGGTATTCCAAGAAAGCATGCACATGGTGGCCTGTGCCTTTTTTAGATAGCTCTGACTTAAGTACACTGACAGGTTTGGGCCCTTTGGGGTGTCACCTGATGTGCTGGGGTACCACTGAGTCAGACTATTCTGCCAGCCTGGGTTCTCTTTACTTGGCCTTGCTAGGTTAGGCTCACAAGCCTCTTCCAGCCAAGCACACAGGCAGGATCACACCCAGCTGCACAGAGAGAGATCTGCTCTGGAAAGATTCAGCTTTAGGGGCTTGCCCCAACCCTCTGGTGCCCACTCCCTTTAAGGGGTACAAAAAGAGAAGACTGAGAAGGGGACATGATATCAGTTTTCAGGTATCTAAAAGGGTGTCATAAGGAGGAAGGAGAAAACTTGTTCACCTTAGCCTCTAAGGATAGAACAAGAAGCAATGGGCTTAAACTGCAGCAATGGAGGTTTAGGTTGGACATTAGGAAAAAGTTCCTAACTGTCAGGGTGGTTAAATACTGGAATAAACTGCCCAGGGAGGTTGTAGAATCTCCATCTCTGGAGATATTTAAGAGTAGGTTAGATAAATGTCTATCCGGGATGGTCTAGACAGTATTTGGTCCTGCCATGAGGACAGGGAACTGGACTCGATGACCTCTCAAGGTCCCTTCCAGTCCTAGAATCTATGAAACCCAAAGGTTTTATGAAATTCACCCCCTCCCTCAATGCGGAGGGAGATATGCAGAACTCCTTGCCCACCCAGTTAGAAATCATATAAACTGGGTTAAGTTATAAACAAGAAAGTAGTTTATTAACTACAAAAGGTGACTTTTAAGTGCATATAAGAGATGAATCTGCTTTGTTCTGTCTCTGACCAAATAAAGCAAAATACACAAGCTAAGCTCAATGTACTTAAGAAAGGTTACAAAATGTAAATTCTCGCCCTAAATGTTATTTTAGGCAGGTTGCAAAGTTTCTGTGGTTGAGTTCCAGTTATATTCCTTTTCAGACTGGACCTCTGTCTCAGACTGGACTCCCGCCTGGCCTTCCCTTCAGGTGGCTTTAGCAGTTTTTCTTCGTGCGCAGACAGGCCATAGAGAGGAGGAGTCCCATTTTCCTTCCTCCCCACCCTTAAATAGGATTTACATAAGACGGGAATCCTTTGTTTCCCAAACTTGACTCCCCTTCCCTTCCAGTGGAAGGTTACAAGAAGTCCCAGGTAATGTTTAGTATCAGGTGACAAGACCACCTGACTCTGTAGGATCACAGTGTCCACGAGTCAGTGGCAGTATGGAGTGTCCACAGGAAGGCCAGGCTTTTCACAGTCTATTGTCCTCGCTTATGGGCCGTTATCGCTGTCTGGCTTTTCCATTGTTGTACCTGAAGTGTTAGCAGCGGGCATCACCCAAAATAGCATAGTTGAAATACAGATACATAGTCAATATTCCTAACTTCAGATACAGGCATGCAAATTGGATAATCACATTCAGTAAATTATAACCTTTCCAATGATGTCTTGCAAGACCCATCTTGCATAAGGTACATCTCAGTTATTCATTCATATCATAAGCATATTTTCATAAAGAATATGGAGTGAAACATCACATACACAACAAGCACAATCAAGAGTGGGGATCTATACTGACAGTTCTCGGCATATGGTTTGTGACTCATTTGGTTCCCACAGACCAATAGAGGTCCCAAATCAATGGGAGCAGGAGTTGGTCCCCAACTGGAATCCCAGTGGGATATTAGAAGCAGACTAATTCATCTGTTTGGAAGTTTGATACCAAAGCTTATGAGCAGGCTCAGACAAATGTAAAATAAATGCAAAACATGAAGTTTAAACTCTGAATTATTATGGAGCTGGCGGGGGTTTAAGGATTTAAACAAGTGTTTTCCTCTTTCCAGCATGCACATGCACATTCTTCAGGATATTTCATAACCCAAGACTCTGCATTTGGAAATCTTATTCTTCCTGTCTTACCTCGACTAGAGTCGGAATGAGGGCTGTTATTTCTCAGAATGAAGGAGATGAATATGTTGTCCATTGTCGAAGCTGCCATCTTTCAGAACTACTTTATATGATTTGGAAAACAGATTGTGAGCTGTTTAAAAAACAACTGTTTTTTTTGTGTTTTTGTTTTTTTAAACATTTGACCTTTTTATTTTAAAAAAGCCTGTTTCATTCTGGATTCATATGCTTGTCTTCCATGGTTGAGTCTGGCTTCACCTGAGAAGAGGTGCTGTAGATTATTATGGAACTGACAGTATTCTTCTTTACTTAATTTCTTTTGTCAGCTCAGTCAGAGTAATACTGTTTGCCTGACATATCATTCCTACATTATATTTTTCTGATTTCCTCTCTTCTTTCATTCAGTTGGAAGGAAGGACGCCCCACCCAGAATTTGAGAGGTTTGTTCTAATCTGCATTTCTGAAGTATCTGTCATAGTATCTATGTACTGTACTTGACCTTAATGAAAGCAGACAAAGTTATCTTTGTCTATCCTAAGACAGACATGGATTCAGTAGATAGATCAGTCACTTTCATTCGCTCTGTGCAGGAACATTATTAGTGCGCCCTGATGTTTTTTATGTTTAGTCTTTGTAACAGTATCCTGGTTTCCCAGGTAGTTAGAGATACTATGTGCCATTGTCTCAGTTTGAGTATATAAAACCTAATTATTAACCTTGTGAACAAATAATCTTGTTTGTGTCCAATTATCCTCCTCTTTCCTAGTGATATGGGGTAAAAATTCCCAAAGCATTTAAGTCCCATGAAACTTATCATAAGTTACTTAGGCACTTTTGAAAATGTTACCCATAAAAGTTCAAGATCTGCCCTCGAATTCAAAATGTCACGCTTTTAGGGTTTTATTATTCTTTCAGTGCCTTTGAAAGTGTGTGTTTGTGCTGCTCAAGTCAAAGTTTAGATTCTGTCTCTGTAAATTCTTTTCCAGGCTCATTTCAATTCTGGCATCCCATTTCAGCACTAGGCTGAAGCTTGGCATACCAGGTCTATTGGTTGGATAAATTATTTTGGAAGCCGAACAATACTGGAATAAAGACACTTATTTTGGAATAGAGTTTGCAAAATACTGGTATAGCTTTATCGGTATAGTTATACGGCCATAGTTCTGCTGGTCAGTTTTCCCATGTAGACCAACCCTGGGATATTGGTGCCAGGGAGCTTTTTATTATTTATTTTTATATATAATATATATATTATAAAAAGAAAGTAGTGAAGATTTGGGCTTGGAATCTGCTGGTATACTCCCATACACTATACGGGTGCCTATCTTATTCTCCGAAATCTCACTTTTTTTTTTTTTTTTTAATTAAATGAAAGTCACTAGCTATTGTGGTTGTAAAGAAAACTTCAAAAATGTGAACTGAGTATAAGTGATGCAGAGGTGAGTGTGCAGGGAGCTGGGACCAATAGCTTAGAACTGCTCTATTCATCTCAGGGAGGGGTTAACTCAGGTGCCCCAGTGATGATGATTTAAATCTCAATGTTTCATTTTTCATGTATGAGAAAGAAGAGGGAGAGTCACTGATCTGCACAGTTTGCAGCGAATGCCGCCTCAAATTGGTGCCACAAGAATGTGGTGTCTAAGAAATACCATTTTTCATTTATCTCCCTGGAGAAGGAGCCTAGCCAAGGAACATAGCACAAAGTGGGCATATTGAAGTCCCAGCGAAGTGACACCATGCTCCAGGAGCCCAGTGGAACTCAGCTGTACAGTCCTATTTTGACTAGCTGCACAATCTACTATGAGCAGAATCTCACTTTGATGACTCAAATGTTCGGAGTTTATTTTAAGGGTAAAACTTGGAAGAATATCACCCTTTTTCCACCCCCACCCCAAACACGCTTCTCATTCCTGGTGATGGCTATTATGTGATTATCTTTAAAACTTGCTTTACTTTACAAATTGAAACTTCCAGCTCCTGTTCTACAACATGAGCCAAATGGCTGTGGGTATTTTGAAAAAGTTGACATGCATGAATCTCAGTGTGCAGAAGAGCAAATATTTCACCACAAATGCTCAAAATGTAGAATCTTATTTAAATGGCAACTACCAGGCACAAATATCCAGGATTCAGAAATGTAAAACAAGGAGGTGGATTTTAGCTTTATAGTATCAAAGGGGTAGCCGTGTTAGTCTGGATCTGTAAAAGCAGCAAGGAGTCCTGTGGCACCTTATAGACTAACAGA